GTCTATGTGAGTCAGTCTATGTGAGTCAGTTCGTTATAAGCCTTCCACTGCATAAAAACTCATCCTATATTGGTTGATTCTTGGTTCTGCCCATACTCATTGGAGTATGTAACAGTTGGTCTTCTGACAACAAATAACCAGGTTCATAACAAGATCCCCTCCAGAAGCCTCAACCAATAAGAAAGATGGAGAGTGCAAGGCTGGCCACATTAACGTAGTTGACCAGATGCCCCCAAGTGCAAGGCTCCCCACATGGCTGTGGTCGGGTACCAGGTGCGACACATGCCTGCCTGAAAGGCACATTTGCTGTGGCATACTGCGTCGCCACACGGGCCCTGCAGGGCCCGTCCTGCATTTTCAGCCTAAAAGCCTAGAAAACAGGGCTTACAGGCCCCGGTCGTTTCAGCCTGAAACTGAAAAACGAGGGCCTGCAGGCCCTATTCCGTTTTCAGCCTATTTCTGGGCCTTTCAGGCCCAGAGGCTTTTCAGAGCCATTTTCAGGCCCTCATTGTGTTCGTCCGACCCTAAGACCCAGGCACAAAAACAGGGTTTTGGGAACAGGCTATTTCTGGCCTGTTCCCCACGACAGCTCGAGCAGGAGCTGCAGCAGCAGCCCCTGCCTCCCTTCGGCATTGCCAAGAGCAGCCTCCTGGACTGCCTCGCCTGCAGTCAGGAGGCACCCGAGTAGTACATAGGTAGTTGGACAGTAGGACAGTAGTCTTCAGGTTTTCGGCCGCAGCACTCAGGAGGAGCGCTGCAGTAGTCTTCAGCGCTAGCAGTAGTCTTCAGCGCTGGGCGCCCATAGCTGTAGGTGTGGTCTTCAGCGCTGGGCGCTAGTAGGTGGTAGTAGTAGCAGTGGAGGGAGATGGCTGACGGAGCCCAGCGGTACTTACCTGTGGCGCCATAGCTCCAGCTCCATCTTCGAGGTACCTGCATCAAGGCGCCAACTTCACAGGTTAGTACTGGACACAGAGAGAGAGAGAGAGAGTTCTTCTTCTTCCTCTTCTAAGTCCACAATCTCTTCTCAACCTCTCACCACCTGACTTCTCAGACTACGACAGAGAGAGAGAGAGTTGTGACTTGGGACTTGACGACATTGGATTCAGACTCGACATTTGGGATTCAGACATTTTGACGAGGGACTATTTGGGCCTGTGCTGAAGACTTGGTGTTGACGACATTCCCATCTTCCCCTCCTCTTCGTCTAACCCCCTTCCTCTTCCTCTGTGTATGGTTGGGGCTGGCGCAGTCTTCCTGTGTGAAGCGCCCGACCCCATTCACACCATGGAATGATGATGATGATGTGTGTTCAGGGCTGCATTGCAATATTGATTGTTCGGATCATTGGTATCTAAGTCTTCCGCTACGCTATCTTGTACTTTGTATTGAGAGGTCGGTTCTTGTTCTGGTCTGCACTGTTACAGTATGCAACAGTTTGGTATCGGAGCGGACCTCTCATTCAGAGGACCCGCTCAATCAAGTAGCCAGCTTGCTTGATCTATTGATTACTTATCAGTAAATCAAGAAGGACTTCGTCAAATCTCTGAAAAAAAAATTTCTCGCAACAACTATCTGAAAATTTCTGATATTCGCATTCCATTTTACCTGAAAATTTCTGATATTGGTATTTCGTTTTCACGTAACAAATATCTGAAATTTCTGATAAATCGCATTTCGATTTGTCTGAAAATTCCTGATAGTAGCATTTCGTTTCTCTGATATTTCGCATACATAGCTGAAAAATTCTGATGTTAGTATTTCGTTCTCTAGGCATATTGGGATAACGTTAGAAGTGGTCATATTCTCGGAAACTGGAATTATTCTTTTCTGAAAATCGAATTTCCATTCTATCTCGCAATTTTTTTTTTGAAAATCAAAATCTTGCGAAGCCTACCAACATTTTGATAGGCATATTCGGAGATTGCCATATTCTCAGAAACTGGATTTCGTTCTTTTCTGAAAATCGCACCTTTACTCCATTTCGAAAAAAAAAATTTCAAGATCGCATTTTGTGAAAGCCGAAACTTTGCAGAACCTAGCCTAGATCTCGTTCATAGTACTCTTCTGACATGTCCCACTCATAACAGATCAACAGATATACAAAAAAAAGAAAAAGGAAGTAGTCCTCTTTTATTTTTTATTATTATTTTTTTTATCTGTTGATTAGGGCCGGAGGAAAGTATTGTTGGGTTGGTTGCCTACCTACGTTTTCCCTCCCACCCACCCCTTTGCATGCATTTCCGGGTTTGTACAGTGCCACGTCAGCAGTGCCACGTCACACAGTGCCACATCAGCAGTGCCACGTCAGCAACAGTGCCACGTCAGCAGTGCCACATCAGCAGTGCCACGTCAGCATTGCCAAGCAGTGCCACATCAGGAGTGCCACGTCAGCAGTGCCACGTCAGCAGTGCCACATCAGCAGTGCCACGTCAGCAGTGCCACGTCAGCAACAGTGCCACGTCAGCAGTGCCACGTCAGCAACAGTGCCACCATGACGGGCACAGCTCTGGGCATGCCAGGCCAACTGGCCAACGAGTCTCTTGCCGACTACAAACAGCGGTTCCAGGCTCAGCTCGCTCAGATCGAGGCTGAGGAACAGCGCCAGCTGGCAGCCGAGGCTGCCCGCCTACAGGCTGAAGCAGCGGCAACAGCTGAGAAGCAGCGGCTACAGGCCGAAGCAGACGCAGATACCCAGGCACGCCGCGAGGAGGCCCAGGATCTGCTGCAGCGGCATGGAGCTGCCAGCATCGAAAGACTCAAGTTCTGGCACTTTGAACCGTCCAACGGCGACGATGCGACACCGGAAGAGTAACATAAGGAGTTCCTCTCCAAACTCGTGACACGGTTGTTGTACGCTTGCAACTACCTACGGCCCGAGTTAGAGAGACAGAACCGGGAACTGCAGCAACAGTACCAGGATCTGAAGATACAGCACCGGGAGTTGGCGAACCTCCGCCGGATAGTGCAGAGCCACGAGGATGCTACACGGGCACTCAATTCCCGTGTATTGGACCTGGATCACGCCGTACCAGGACCAGATGCTGGTGAGTCCAGCAGTGCGCCCTCTCACCGCCAACTGGAGCAACGCGTCGACCACGTCGTCGCAATGCTCGGCGACATCAGCATCTTCGCTGCGCCGACCACCATCAGCAATCACCTGGATACTTTGAAGACCGAGGTCCAGCAACTGCAGTCGACGAACACGGATGGCAACAATCCAAAGCAATACAAGATGCCAACGTTTCAACTTGAGAAGTTCGACGACTACACGCATCAGGACCCGGTGCTCTGGTGGGAAGCTTTCACGACGCAACTTCGGATTCTGCCTGTCGCCAAGCACGCGTACATCGGCGGCCTGTTCATGAACTCAAAGGGCGGATGCCAGATCTGGTTAACCCACCTGGCAGCCACCCACGGCGTCGACGTCGCAGATCTGAAAGACAAGGTTACATGGGAAGAGTTAACACGGCTGTGGAAGAAGCGGTTCATCGTCGACGACGCACCAGCACTCGCCATCAACCGTCTCTTCACCATGACTCAAGGCAACACAACAACACGTGACTGGCTCACGGAATGGCAGAAGATCGCGGCAACGCCCGATCTTGACTTACCATTTCCGCATCTGCGCCGTGAGTTCTACAACAGGTCATGCGCTGCATTGAGCCAGGCACTTGGTGATCGCGAGCAGTATGCAACTTTCGCCGAGATTATTGACAAGGCGAGAGAGATCATCAAGACCAACAGGGCGGCTGCACATGAGAAGTCGACATGGCAGCCAACCTATGTGGAGAAGGTGAGAACTGGTCCGCGGCAGCAGCAGTTCGCTGCAGTCCAATCGGACAACACAGTGGAAGACCCGGCAACCACCCAAGCATCACGTGAGGGAGATCAGGTGGCTGTTGTCCAGCCGCGAAGCAACAACAAGCCCCGAATAAACGGGAAGGCGAAACCAGCATCGCAGGCCGGAAACGGACAGCCAGCACCATGGGTCAAGTTCAACTTGATCGAGGCCGAGTACAAGTACCGCGGCCGTTACGACTGCTGTTACTAGTCCAACAGCACCAAGCACAAGACCTCCCTTTGCCAGGATCAGACCAAGGAGGATGTGCGGCGTCTTAGCTCGGGAAACTGAGTTTCGCGGGAGGTGAGGCGACTCCACCTCCCACTCCGCCAGATTCGGCCGCCTTGCTAGCGGCCTCCTACACATCATGGGAGGATGCGAATGTTGTAAGTTCTCGATATGCTTACGAGGACTATGCTGTCCACTTGGTCCCACCGCTGGACCAACCGCTCCACGTGCAACAATCTACCACATGCACAGTTTCATCACCATCGGCAACCGATTCGGCAGCTTCGCCGCCATCTACCGCCGGGGATTCAACGTCATGGTCAAGACTTGAAGAGCTCGACCCGTTGACATTTGCGGACTTCCAATGGATGCCCCTTTCCCGGTCCGGTCGATTGCCGAAACCACATTGCAACGTGCTCAAGGCACAATTGCGGGATTACTTGCACACTGCAGTACCGACTCCGTTGCGGACGCCGAAGTAGAGGTTGTCGACCTTCACGCCTACATTGCGAAGATCGACCGCGAGTTCAAGACGCAACGGTACGACGACATCGACGCACCATTGCTATATGTACGCATTCAGATCGGAGAGGCGACCTGCAGCGCTTTGATCGATTGCGGAGCATCTCGCAACTACATGAGTCAGGACTTCATGGTACGCGCCGGCCTTGGCCCACGAGTCCGAAGGAAGTCCCAGCCCACGCAAGTCACGTTGGCGGACGGTCACACGCACAAGTCAATCGACCKGTGCATTGATGACGTCCCAGTGTACTTTGCCCCTCACGCAAGTGAGGCRGTGTCCTTTGAYATYCTGGACMCCRAATTCGACATGATYTTGGGCATGTCATGVCTGCGAAGCRAGGATCACCCGGTGAACTTCTACCGCCGCACCGTTCACGTTTGTGATCGGAACGGAGTACTAGTCCCATGCACGGTAGCTCCTCCTCACCCTTCAGTCAGCTGTCACGTGGTATCCGCCGCAAGCATGCGAGCTTCCATCATCAGAGACGACATCGAGGAGATGGGGGGGTGTTTTCTCCACGCCCTCCCGCCCCATGACGCTTCATCAACGGACTCTTCTTCGGATCCACGCATCACCGAACTTCTCGACGCCTACAGCGACGTATTCGAAGGCCCGCACGGAGTATACTGGATCGGCCCATCCGCCACGGGATCATCCTCGAGGACGGGGCCGTACCTCCGCGCGGTTGCATCTACCGAATGAGCGAGGAAGAGTAAAGTGTGCTTCAGGCACAACTCGACGACCTTCTGGAGAAAGGCTGGATTCGGCCTAGCTCATCGCCATTCAGTGATCCTGTTCTCTTCGTCCGGAAGAAGAACAAGGATTTGCGGTTGTGCATCGATTATCGCAAGCTCAACGCGCAGATGATCAGAAACGCTGGCCCTCTCCCGCGCATCGACGGCCTTCTCGAACGACTGGGCGGCGCCAAGTTCTTCTCCAAGCTGGACCTTGAGTCGGGATATAACCAACTCGAGATTCAGAAGGAGGATCGCTACAAGACCGCATTCAAGACTCGGTATGGGCATTTCGAATGGCTGGTTATGCCATTTGGCCTTACGAATGCCCTGGCCACTTTCCAAGCGACTATGACAACGGAGTTCCGACACATGCTGGAACGATACATACTTATCTACCTCGACGACATCTTGGTATACAGTCGGAGTTTGGAGGAGCATGTGGAACACCTGCGCACCGTTTTGGAGCGGCTACGACAGGCCAAGTACAAAGCCAACCGCGACAAGTGCGAATTCGCGCGGCAGGAGCTGGAGCACTTGGGACATTATGTGACGCCGCAAGGCATCCGCCCGCTTGCGGACAAGATCGAGGCCCTACGAGTATGGCCTGAGCCCACCAACACCACGGACGTTCGTTCATTCATGGGATTGGCGGGCTACTATCAGCAATTCATCACTGGATACTCGAGGATTGCTGCACCTATGTCGAGATTACAATCGCCAAAGGTGCCATTCGTATTCGATGACGACGCACACCGGTCATTCCAAGCACTTAAGACGGCTATGCTCATGGCACCCGTCCTTAGCATCTATGACCCCACCCTGCCGACGAGAGTGACTACGGACGCTTCCGGCTATGGCATTGGGGCAGTCTTGGAACAGCACGACGGCACCCTGTGGAGTATTTCAGCCACAAAGTGCCTCCCATCAACTCGCTTGATGATGCAAGGAAGAAGGAGCTACTCGCATTCGTGATGGCTCTCAAGCGTTGGCGGCACTTCCTCCTTGGGCGTCGTAGGTTCACATGGATCACAGACAACAATTCATTGACCTACTACAAGACGCAGGATACGGTGACCAGCACGATCGGACGATGGATGTACTTCATCGACCAATTTGACTTCACACCAAAGCATGTCCCCGGCCTCTCCAATCGCGCAGCAGATGCACTCTCGCGAAGACCTGATCTTTGCACTATGACACATCATGCCTTCGCATTCGACGAGGAGCTCCAGCGACACTTCATCAGGGGCTATGAGTCCGATCCAGATTTCGCCACGCTATATGCGCAGCTATCTTCCGATCACCCGCCGGCCAGCCACTATCGCATCGCCGATGGGTACTTGCTTCTGCACTCGCGGGGCAAGGACTTACTATGTGTCCCACGCGACCGTCGTCTTCGGACTCGCCTCCTCTGCGAGTATCAGGATTCGCGACTCGCCGGCCATTTCGGAGTCAACCGCACTACTGCACGGCTTCGACAACGATTCCGATGGCCAGACCTCATCACCGACGTCACGAGGTATTGCGACTCTTGCGAAGTTTGCCGACGAAGCAAACCCCGCAGCCGCAACCCCTACGGCGAGCTGCGCCCGATACCGATCCCGCAGGAACCCGGTCTCTCCATTGCCATGGATGTCACCGGACCATTCCCCCTCGACCGCCTCGGACACGACGGCATCCTCACGGTTGTGGACCGTTTGAGTAAGTATGCGCGTTTTCTCCCTTGCAAGTACTACTCCACGGCTCCCGAGCTGGCACGCCTCTTGCACACCGGTTGGATTTGTGGCCACGGTGTACCGGAAGACATAGTCAGCGACCGCGACACTCGCTTCATGTCGGCATTTTGGATTGCTCTCATGCAGGAGTCCGACACGAAGATGAAGCCAAGTTCGGCTCGGCATCCACAGACAGACAGGCAGACGGAGTGGGCACATCAAACCGCTCAAATGATGCTTCGTACGCTCATCCGTCCGGACCAGAAAGATTGGGTTGACCGCCTCCCCGACATCGAGTTCACCTACAACACTTTGGTGCACCCGGCGATCGGCGTGACTCCATTCGAGTTGCACCACGGTGGACAAAAAAATTGTATCTTCGCCGACCTTCTCCTCCCACGACCAGCCGACATCGATGCCGCTTGCTCTCCCGCTTCCGTCCGGAAGAACTGGGAATTGTTGGCTCAAGCCCGCGCGAATATGCAAAAGGCTCAAGTCCGCATGCAGCAGCAAGCCAACAGGCATCGCGTGCCATGTCCCATCCGCGCCGGCGACCTGGTTTGGGTTCCGCGGAAGAGTTTGCACTGGAACAGGAGGTTTCACGCAAACTGCTTCCCAAGTGGTTTGGACCATGGCCCATAACATCAGTCGTGCGCGATGAGCCCGATGGCCCTTCATTTGTGATCAACATCCCCCCACATCTGACGGTCCATCCAGTCTTTCACGCCTCAAAGCTGGCAACATACACGCCAGCTAAGAGCGACGACTTTCCAGGCCGACAATCGCAGGATCCTCCTATGGATGGTCATCAGGAATTTGACCGCGTCATCATCGATCGCAAGTACGGCAGCAAGCCGCGACAGTACAAAGTTACATTCAAAGCCTGCGATCGCGACGACACTCGGTGGATTTCAGGAGCAGATTTGAAAGCATCCGCACCGCTGATCGACGCGCATTATGAGAAGCAAAGGTTAGCTCAGGAAGCTTCACTACCAGCCCCTCCCACCCGGACTRTGGTCCCTCCCTCAGACAGACAGCTTCGCCCTCGCAGGTAAGCTCGGTCTTTCAAGGAGGAGGGGGTGTGGCATACTGCGTCGCCACACGGGTCCTGCAGGGCCCGTCCCGCACTTTCAGCCTAAAAGCCTAGAAAATAGGGCTTACAGGCCCCGGTCGTTTCAGCCTAAAACTGAAAAACGAGGGCCTGCAGGCCCTATTCCGTTTTCAGCCTATTTCTGGGCCTTTCAGGCCCAGAGGCTTTTCAGCCTGAAACGGAGGGCCATTTTCAGGCCCTCATTGTGTTCGACCTACCCTAAGACTCAGGCACAAAAACAGGGTTTTGGGAACAAGCTATTTCTGGCCTGTTCCCCACGACAGCTCGAGCAGGAGCTGCAGCGGTAGCCCCTGCCTCCTTTCGGCATTGGCAAGAGCAGCCTCCTGGACTGCCTCGCCTGCGGTAGCCCCTGCAGCGGTAGCCCCTGCCTCCCTTCGGCATTGGCAAGAGCACCCGAGTAGTACATAGGTAGTTGGACAGTAGGACGGTAGTCTTCAGGATTTCAGCTGCAGCACTCAGGAGGAGCGTTGCAGTAGTCTTCAGCGCTGGGCGCCCATAGCTGTAGGTGTAGTCTTCAGCGTTGGGCGCTAGTAGGTGGTAGTAGTAGCAGTGGAGGGAGATGGCTGGCGGAGGCCAGCGGTACTTACCTGTGGCGCCATAGCTCCAGCTCCATCTTCGAGGTACCTGCATCAAGGCGCCAACTTCACAGGTTAGTACTGGACACAGAG